AATAATATATGGCTGATAATATATTTATGTGTTAAATATTAAAATTAAATGAAAATATATGAAATATTTATACAATACAGTTAAGAAAATTTAGTACCAAAATTGATCCAGAGGGAGTACTAAGCTGCAGCAGCATTGTTTCTTTTAAACTTTAATAAGTCAGGTGAGGGGATCACTGTAAGGTTACAAAGAAATTCTGTTCTTTTTCATACCCTACCATTGTCAGGGGTATAGTATAGATTTCACCTTGTTGATAAGTACCGTCTCAGGATATCAGACTGCACCGACCAGATGTTGGGTGCTTTATGGAAAGCTCTGACTCAGCTTTTCTCATGCACATCTTTCATCCAAAACTTGACTCTGGTCTAAATACATGGCTAGATTTGTGGACAAGTGCTTCCTCAGTCCATCCTCAAATTGTGCTGCAAGCAGCACAAAAAGAAATTAGGGGGAGAAGTCTGACAGCACTCAGAGCAATCTCAGTCGCACAGGAATGGGCTGTGATTTGAAATGTTGATTATCCACACTTGTGCTTCTCTACTGAATAGAGAACTCATCATTTAAAAGATTACCTTGTAGATGATGATAAGAGCACATTTTCTTCTTCTGCAGACAACATTTGTGCCGTGGCAACCATTATGGCTGTGCTTTGATCAGTGATATAGAATGGAGCTGTCAAAAACCTTAAAAAGCTTCTATTAAAGTCGTGGGGATTTATCTGTCTAAGACCTGGGAAATTTAGCGAGGGGCCCAGTTTTGGTCTCCATTTCTAATCAGGGTGTGCAGCTGCACAGCAGAGCAGTCGGCTCCCCAGCCTTCTAGGAAGTCGGTAGTGCTGACTTTGGTTTGTAGCCCAGATTGGAGAATCCCTAGAGAGCTCTCTGGAGAGCAGAGCTTATGGCTGTTGGAAAGCTGCCCTGTCCTGGCATTATTGGGACAGCAGGATTACTGGGTTGCTTTGAGGTATCTTGGGGGAGTTTAGCACTAGGAACACAAGACCCCTGCTTCCGTTGCCCTGCAGCATGCACGTGGGTGGATTTGATTGCAGTGTTTGTGAATGTGGCTGAATATTAAACATTGAAATGTAGGGGTTACATTTTTCAGTTTATTGGTACTGAAGTTGTGATCTAGTGTTGGGAGTTTTAATACTCTGCTTTTGTTGTCTCTTTTAATATAATTTCAATGTATGGCACTGAAATTTGTTTTTATCCAGCTGGACATTTTCAACTGATGCATTGATTCCTGCTATGAAAGCAGGGTTAGCCGATAGTGGCTGGGAGCAGTAGCTTTGAAGCTTGAGGCAAGGAGAGCCCCAGGAGATCCATGTTACTGCTTATTTGTTAGCCAGAATAAAAACTATTAGAATAGTTTGGATACCTCATCCTGATTTCCATTGCTTTTTTTTTTTCTTTTTTTTCTTTTTTTTTTTTTTCCTTCCCTCTAGCAGTCCTTTTTGGAAACGTACTCCTGCTTTCCCTCAGTTCAATCACACTGCTGGATATTATGAAAACTGTCCATTGTAACGAGCTGCAAATGGTTGACCCTGTTCAGCCCCGAAACAGAGATGTGTCTGCAGCTGAATGCTTTTGCAGACCAAAAGGGCAGATCCTACTCACTGAGTTTATTTTGAGTTAGTGCCTGACCTCAATCTTAGAGGTCAGAACGTATCACGGAAAGTTATCGTCTGCTGAGCAAAGTTGAATTACTTTTACTCTTTTGAGAATTGTTGTAGTAATGCAGCTGCTTTGGCCAAACTTTAGGGTGGGTCATTGCACGTTTGCTACTCGGAATTCCAACAGGAATTTCATTGGGACATAGGATCATTGGCTTTTTGCTCCATGAAATGGCAAAGAGTTAAGAGAGCATCTTAATCCTGATGGTAGCGGGTGTGGAAGCTCTTGATGTGCCTTGCAGCACTTCACTGGCTGTAGCAGAGGAGTGGATCTCTGAAGATGTCCTAAAAGCTGTCAGGAAAATTCTGCTCCTAGGTAAAAACAAGACATGCAGAAAAAAGCATAACCTGAAAAACAAAGGTATGGCAGAAGAAAAAAGAAAATGAGACTGTACCAGGCGGTGTACCAGCTAGGGGGAATTGTGAATCCTGCGCTTGTGGAAGGACCAGACAGATCAAAATCCTGCGATCAAAATATCAGAAAGGGAGCCCCAGAGTAATCATTTGATAAGGAAACAATTTATCAGAGTAATAATCTTCAGTCAAGAGTAATCTTTAAAACCATCCATGTGCTTGGCCACTTGACCACTACCAAATAACTGAGACTCGGAGAAAGGAGTGAGGCTGAAGGCTGGTGGTCACCAAGTCAAGCTGGTAAACCCTTAGAGATGACCATGGTGTGTCAGTCGGTGTGAGCTGGGGCATAAAGGAAAAAAAATGCCAAGAAAGCACTCAGTCACTCGTCCTAAGTTTCACCAGAGTAGGCTTTTTAGACAAAGGGAACAATGACAGCAGTGCTAGCTCAGATACTTTTTCATAGAAAAGGAAATGGAATTTGAGCAGATTAATGGGACTTTAACTTGAACACAAATGGGGTGTCTGATGCATTGCACTTCAGTGCTCATGAGCATACTGTTGTGCTTCTAGAGACACCTCAATTTACTCCAAAAGAATAAACATTAGAAGTAAATTTCAGGTCATTAAAAGAGTGAGTTGTCCCTGTGAAAGGAAGAAGTGCGTTAATGGCTAAGTAGGAAAGCTAAAATAATGGAACCATAGAATGGTTTGGGTTGGAAGAATACAGGCAGAGTATCTGGTATTAGGTTCTATATGTATACAAACTCTTGCTCATGGTAAAAAAGAGCACCTGTATGGTTGGAGCAGATATCAGAACTGTCAAGGGAGAAATGGGGAGTGTCTTCAAAGGTAAATAAGCTCTGTGATGATTAGGGAAGTTCAGTCATCTGGCAATTCATGTCCATGGGAGCTTTCCCTTCTCTGAAGGTGGAAAAGTACATAGGTTCATCGGTTGCAAGTGGGATAACCAAGAGAATGGGGCTCACCCTTTGGACACTGTAGGGCTAGGGAGAGGGGAAGAGGGAACTCTTGGCCTCTGTGTAGGCTGAACAGAGATTTATATATATTTATACATATATGTTTATGTATATCCATAAAGGAAATATTTTCTGTAACCAGAAAAGATAAATGTTTTGGGTTGGATAACATGGAAAACAATCACTTTTTAGGTTAGAAGTCATGTGGCAAATGCCCATAAAAATTTCAACTGCAATTTTGCACATTACTGGGAAAGTTTGCCATTTTGTCAGCAGTGTAGATAATTATCACCAGAGAGGAGGGCCAGAATAAGAACCTGCTGGCAGTCTGTCAGCAGTGTCCAAAGCGGCATGCTAAAAGTTGCTAAAGTGAGGGGAGAGTTTAGGTTAAACAGGCTTTCGCTTGCAGCTCCTGCTACATCCTCAATGATAATCCTTAAAATGTTGCTGGGAAACCTGTTTATCTTTTTAGAAATCAGAAAATAAATACCCAAGAAAGTCTAAAATATTTTATTAAAGCCTCCAATGAACTGTAGGATTGAGGAAAGCTTTCCAAACTCTTGATGAGATGTCATTAAAGACTGCAATCTGTATGTCTGGTGGGTGCTCCTGCTGCGTTAGTAACGGTTAGTAGTATCCTGCATAAGGACAACTTCAGTAGTAAGCGATTCATAAATTGGTCGTACTTGTAAAGATTAGTTGGTTTTTGTGTCTAGCAGTGGGAGCCAAATGATTTCCAGGTGACTCACTGACCTCCCCGTTGTTACCAGCGAGTGCGGCAGATACCTGCAGGCGTGAAGGAAGAGTTAACTCAAAAGCATGAGCTCAGTTTTATTTTACTCCTGCTTGTTGAAGGTGCCAGAACTTCACCTCCCACAGAAGCATTGATGAGCTATTGCTATGCTAGAAATTTTTCAGACCAATCTGTCTGCAACAATGAGCCTGTGAAAGCCGGGAGAATGATACACTGCTGGCTGTGTCCAATCTTTTAATCGATCTCCCCTGTCTAACGAAACAAAGGACCAGTCTCGCCCAGACAGGTGAGGGCAGCGCGTGTGAATATCCTGACAAAAAGTAAAATGACTGCAGCGGTATCTTTCTTTGTCAAATGGGTGAGTGGTGTTAAGCAGAGAGTAAACCTGCCTCAGCTGTAGCAGCATGGAATGTAAGGGCTTTGTTAACTGCCCGAGGGGGGGAAGAAAAAAAAAAAGAGTGCATTTGAATGCCTTGCAACCTCTTTGAGGCTGAAATAGTAAGCTAGAAATAACAAGATTGCTATTATATATCGTAGAGGCCAAAAGCTTAGCAGCAATCGAAGAGGATTAACATTCATAGAGCTGGAAAGAATATGAAGAGTTGTTGTTGTTTCCTGAAACAAAAGTGAACTGGGAGAGCTGTGAAGCCACCTGCTCAGTGGCTCAGCCTTTTAGTGGTGGAAGGGAGGAGACTTGCCATCAGGAATTAAGGTTAGAGAACTCTACATCCCAGGATACATCCCAAAATGAGATGTGAGGGAGGGTCAAAAGAAGTTACGTTCTTAGAAGATGTGAGAATCTTTTTGATCTAAACTGATTCTTGCACCCTGAAATGGTTTCAGAAGGGATCTGACACCATTGCCACCTGCTAATGCTCTCCTTTACCGCGATGGCTGTTCAGCCCAAGCAAACAGTGCACGTTTCAACTTTGTGGCTGAAGAAGACAGAATTCATTGTAAACTGGATATTTTATTAGTTAATCTTTTTCCCAAAGTGCAACATGATTGAAATCTATTCTACTTTGACCAAGGTGTGCCTTGATTAACTAAATTAAATCAACAGAGCAAGTGGTCAGCATCTTGCCCGCACTGTAACATTCGGTGGGCACAGCTACTGGTGTGCTTGCTGTGATACCCTAACAGTGTTTTTCTTACTTTGCCTTTTCCTTTTATTGTTGGACACATTCTCTATATGTAAGGCTCTTGGGGCTCTAATCTTACCTTCCTCTCTCCCTCCTAGTGTCTATCAACTTGTTGTCAAGGAGGAGAAGCTGCAGAAAGCACGGAGAGCTGCAGACATCATCGAATGCTTCTCTGTCCCCGTGAGCTACAAGAACGCTTCCAGTCTTGACTCGCCCCACTACTTCGCAGCTGAGCTGAAACCCATCAACCTGCCTGTCACACAGCCCTTCACAGTGGGCGACAACAAAACCTACAATGGCTACTGGAATGCTCCACTGTCTCCCCTGAAAAGCTACAGCATATACTTCCAGGCTCTTAGCAAGGCAAATGGAGTAAGTGCAGTGAAAACTGAAGTTGGATCTGTATATATGACCACCTCTGTCTATCCTCCTCATCTTTCTCCTTCCTCCTCCATTGGATGCCAGTTTAACTCATCCTAATTATTACCTTCTTACAGAAATTTGATGAAAATCAAACATACCCTTACTTGTCCATCACTCAGGTCTCTCTTTGATGCCTAGATCCAACGAGAAACGTGTTGAGGAGCCAGACTATGTAAAGGCACATGTTGGCATGTGATTGACAAAATTAATTTCTAGACTTTTTGTTTTGTTGCGTATGCATGAATGTCAGAGTAGGGGCTACTGTGCTTTTGAAAGATGTATATGCAATATCCTGATAGTGTCCAGTTCACAGTGCTTGTGATTTTGGAGGAAACATTCTGAGATTACAACTATACAAAAGCTCTGAATTTGGATTGCCTTGCAGCTTGTCTTTGGTCACCTCATAGTGCAGCAGTTATGTTTGGGAATTTCAGCGTAAGTCGTACTGCAGGGGGGATGATGTGCATGTCTTTCTTAGTCCTTTTGAATACCCGGGACTGTATTCTTACATATACTTTGTGATATTAAGTTTAAAATGGAAATAGCACAGGAAACACAGTCTACCCTGTCCTCAGGTTCAAATGATGTACATGTAATGCCCCAACAGATCCTGGCACGGGAAGAGTGAAAGCCTCTTATCCAGCCTAGAATAGTTTGTGATCTTTTAACTTTTCTGTTTCAGGTCTGTTCAGCTAACGGTGTACAGGCCAGATCCAATCTAAGCAGTTATTCATATTCCTCCATTTTGACTCCCCTAGTTGTTTTTTGTTATCACATAGCACGATACAATTGGACACTCTGGGCTCATGGAGAGTCTTAGAGCATTCACATGACATCAGGAAGTTGGGTAGCCGCGTGTGTTATTGGCAGATTTGCCAGTGCTTTCATGAATCTGACTTTAACATAGATAAATTCTCTAAGACCTCACCTCTGAAAGAGCAAAATTAGAAAAATCAATCAAAGGTGAGTGGTGTAGGCTTTGGTCTCCACTGGAATAATGTCTTTTATACCCAAAACACATGGACTCATCACGGAGGACCGTACATCGTTTAACAGGCTAGCAATGCCGATACAACGTTCACAATGTATCTTGGTGTTTTACTGCCTTCATTTATCACCATTCTCCTGCTGAGTTTCTGCTGTGTGGCTGACAAGCACAAATCTCTTCAATACCATGCTGTTTTTCACCTTGGTTTCCTTTCTAGTTGACATAGTTTCCTTCTAGCACTACTCAATTAATTCCATTTTGGATTTGCCTTTATAAAGGAAATTGTGAAATATATGTATATGTCTCTCTGTGTCTAGTTAGTTCCCCCTTGTGTGATAGTTAATTGCTAGTGAATGGATCCCCAGGGACGAAAGAAAACTTTATTTGCTTAAGTACCATATAATATGCCATAAATGGGTTGTGTGAATGGAAATGTAGCTTCCCTTGGCATTCTGGATTTAGGCAGCACTAATGTGTGGTTCCTGCTTTTTCTGTGTCTCTGTAGCTGGCAGGTTGCATCACACTCTCTACATATAACGTGGTAAGGACTCAAAAAAAAGAATGACTTGCTTGGGCTGTTCTAATAGGAACACAAGAATCTAAAGGACTTTTCAAGCATAAGTAATGTGAGTCTGTGTGCAACAACTCAGTTTGTGAAAGCAGAGTATCCTACCAGACAAGCCAAATTCCTACTGGAGCAAGAAATTGCCTCTTGTGTTACTAATTTATATTGGTACCATATATGCTTATATATCCTCAAAGTGCAGTACTATGGGAAAAAATATAAAGGTGGAATATTGATCTTCAAAGACGTAGCTGTGATAGTTTTTGTTTCTGGACAAAATCTTAAGCCCTACCTTTCAAACATTAGGGTCTAATTTTCATCCAAACTTTCACAGCTATAAATAGTAAGTTTTTTTTTGTTCCCAGAATTGTTTACAGGTATAATTTGTATTTAAGAGTTCTGTGTTTTCACTTATGTCCTGAGCAGCTTTGACTGGTCTTTGTAAAACCTACAAATAATTATGGCTGCAACACGGCATTTTTGATAATGCACATCCACAAAAAATCTGAAACAATAACAATTTAGTACAACTAAAGTATAACCTTACGTTCCCCTGCACATGAAAAATTTAACAGAACGTTGCCACTCATTTTTTTAATTAGGATATTCTGTAGGTTCATTAATCATTGACAGTTGTGGATTGATGAAACTTCTTTCCACACCTGGAACCTGCAATGAGAAACCTTCGTACAGTGAACCAGAACATCTTCCTTTGGAAATGTAGGACTCTAGGGAGAGCTTAATTTGAAGAAACATTGTGTGTTTGGTCAAAAATCTTGATTAGGAGGGAGGTAGAAGTGTTATAGGACGTCTGCATTGTTTCAGCCGCTCGTTTGGTGTTCTCGTCTGCTCTGCAGCCATTAGCCATGATTGTTACAGTGAAAGAAACGTAATTAACAGCTGGATGCAAAACAAGTGTGGCAGATTGCTACAAAATCAGATCACAAGCTTTTCTGCCTTCTCTAGTGCATGTTGTTCTTTTTGTTTGAGAGTTTGAAGGAGAGAGTTGTTGCTGGCTGGATTTTTTTCCGTGGACAGTTGCAGGAAGTTTGGTGAACATGGTGTTGCTTCCAGACGGGGACCTGAACAGAACATGTGTGAAGCAGCATCATTTTCAGCTTTGTTATACAAAACACTTCCAAATTGTGTGAATTTCCCTCCCAGGGACTGTGGAAAGCCAGATGCTGAACTGAAAGGTCTCAGGGTTTGAAGTAGGAAGGGAAAAGAGAGAGAAATGAAACAGAAGCTGTGGGCTTTGGGGTGAGAAGCACCATTAGTTACTGTTTAGTTGTTAGAGCTAGCACAGAAAGAGACACAGGAAGAAGAATGGACAAGTGGCTTTGCTGTCCTCTGGCAGGATCTCCACACATGCTGTCGCATCCATCCAGGCAGTTACTGATGTTCGCTGGTTGTCCTGGTGCATGGCAGATCATGGAGTTGCCTTGTCTGAAAGACCTCCTTGAGCTCAGCCCCTTCCAAACCCCAACCCCTCCAGTGCTTATCCCTCTGAAACGGGAGCCCAGGGTGCCAAGGCTGTGTTGCTCCTTATCCTCTCTTATCTTGTACTGGCTTAACAGTCCAAGTTAAATGTTGTGGGCTTTATTGTCCCCAGGTTCTTTATCCGAGTCGTTGCAGGTGACAGTCCCTGGTTAGTGACCCAGTACCATGCTCAAACAGGGAGAATTCTTGAGCTGCTGGGTGAAACCTGCCTGAGTTTTTGAGCAGCTCAGAAACAGAGCTCCCTAAAAATCCTTCGTGGAGTTACATTTTCCCATATTGAGTTAAAATGAAATGTGTAACAGCACGGTTGCAATCGATAACTCTTGGCCATTTTTCCTCTATATGGGAGATGAGGCAGAGCCTTTGTCACGCAGCTGGCGGTGGCGTTGGGGACACTGCCAGCTGCTCCCGCAGCCCGGTGGTCCAACAGGTGAATGATGTTTTCAGGCCAGAATTGTGAAAAGTAGCACCACAGGAATCAATGAGAATATTATTTTTGAGGGAATGATAGACTCTACAGAGATTCCTATTGATTTTTTTTCCTCTCTAATGACTTGTACTACATGCACAATTGGGCAGCTCATTATTATCAGGGGACCTCAGGCTGGATTTCTAGATGCTGACAGGTCTGCTCACAGTACACAACATTCTTCTTCTGGGACGTTTTGGAGGTATGGATAGGGCTGGCAGCAGAGACATGCCATTCATCCCTGCGGAGGCGGCCCACGAAAAAACCAGTGAGGTACTTCAGTCCAGCACGAGCTGTGTTCTGAAGAATGAGATGGCACCAAGCCGCCTGCATTGCTTCTGTAAGCTACTGAACAGCTTCGAGGAGCTCTGTGTTCTGTAGGATTTTGGGTGTACACTTTTGTTCATTTATGTTTACTCTTAATCTGATGCTGGAGCTGCTGGGGCAGAAATAAAGCAGCCCTGGGAGCACTTCACTCTTTGTAAGCCCCGGTTCCCACATCCAGTTGGCCGCCTTGGGCCCAGAGTGTGTGGACCTGAGTGTTTTCTGGATAGTAAATAACATCCTCCTCCAGTCTACCTCATGGTTGAGAGGCGTGGGTATTCAGTGATTAACTATATATCATTGAAATAACTTTCTGTTGTAAATAATAAAAACCCTAACCACTGTGTTAAACCTCCCTTCTCCAAATAACACAAATACAAAAAATAGTTGATAATTGGAAAGGCAATACTAGGTTCTCTAAGAGAACTAGCAGTTTCCTTAAGCTGGCGATAGAAATTATAGGGGAGTCCCTTGATGCTGCACAGACATACGCACACGGCTAATTTTAAAGCCAGCAAACAGTTGGCTTCAGTGGGATAAAAAAGAAATGCGCGATCTAGAGCTGCCCTGAGCTTGAGCAAAATTTGTTGAGGACCAAAAAAATAATTCCTTAAGATGTTCAGTGGACAGAACAACTGTTTGTGTCTGGTGCGAAGCAAGTTGCCAACAAGCATGCTCAATGCATGGCTCTGGGACATGGGGAACTAAAGTTGAAACTGAGGCCGAGTGGGAAATTGCTAATTAGCTGCGCACCAGCAAGAGTTAAAATTACCTGGCCCCAGTTTGAGCTGCCTGATGAAACTGTGCTTGTTCCAGGGCAGCCCAGAATGGTCCGTCTGGGACCAGCAGGTCTTGCTGGTGCTGGCAGGTGGCTCTTCAGACAAGGCATCCACTGTTTAACCAATGCAAAGTCATAATAATAGTAGAGGAGAGAAAAAATTGTGGGTGTGAAAACAGATGGATGAAAAAGCTCTCCTGCTTTTATTGTTGTTCCTAGTCTGTAAACAGCAAGCTGTCATTTTAAAATAAAAGAAAAAAAAAATCATTTGCCCTTTTAGGTTGTGAAGATGCAGCTGTCGCATAAACATATGTCCTGCTGCCCTCACAGCCCTTTTCTGCAGAAAATTGTTTCCATCCAAACGCTAAAGAGACAGAGGCAGAGCTTGTCTAGTGATCATCCAGTGTACTTCAGTGAGATGTGCATTTAGAAACATAAATAATTAGTAGACAGCATCAACTCCCTTGCTTTGAAAGAGAAAGAAACAAACTGTATTAAAAGAATGTTTTAAAAAAAAATCTTAGAATTCAGAGGGATGCTAAAACAGGCTTATGGTGTGTAGTTTCAAGTCTGTGTGCATGAGCTGTGTTGGCAGGGAAGACAACTTCACACAGTTTGTGTCCTCTTCAGGGAGTCTCCGGCTCATTCTGACCATAGGTCCGGGTCTGTCCTCCAGGAACAGTCTCCCAGCACCCTGAATCCCAGTCCTTGTATGGTCTATGTCCATGGTCTATGGACTGAATTTAGCCAGGGTTCAGCCTTGAGTACACTGTAATCATGTTTTATTCATGTGGAAGTAAGTTCCAGAAAACAAGCTTACATAACTATGTTCTAGCACACATATAGATGGGATGAATATGCGGTAAGCCTCCTGGATACGAAGCGTGTTGGAATATGAAGGTTTGCTCAAGAGCTGTTAAACATACTCATGCAGTGGTTTCCCATGCCAGGATGTTGGTTAAATCTGCCTACATTGTTCTATCGCTGTTTGGATATAAAATGTCTGTCTTAACCCGACAGTGATATAGAGCTGAAGAGGTAGTGCTGCTGGGATCTGAAACTGAGTTAGTGCTGTGATTTCAGCCGTAATACGAACCCGGTGTCTTATACTGAATATATAGGATCTTCGGTTGTTAGTAAGATTGTTGTAGACATGAGGCCTTGCAAAACTTCTGTGCTTTCACAGCATTTGAAAGAACATGCAGAAACAATACGGAGACTGAAATTTGGGGGAAATTATTTTTCTTTTTCTAAAACTTTTTTTATTATGCCTTTATTTCATTATTTTTCATGTAATTGCTTTAAGCCACCTGGATGGATAAGTGAGAATTATCTGTGTTGTTCATTCACTGTTGGCTAAACAGGAGCATCTCATTGTACTGTGGGCAGGAAAGTACCTTGTCTGAAATAAAAGCAGTATTTTTCAAAAAACAAATGTGATTATGGGAAAATGGTTTTACTGTTTTTATGAAAAAAAACCCAAACAATTTATTTATTCTGTTTCTTGGTAGAAAAGTTTGTACAAACTCAAAATTCTCAGCATCAAAGAAAAATAGAATACATTTAAAGAGATCTCATTTTTGAGACACCAGAGAGATGAGCAGTGGGTTGATCAATGAGGTGATCAATGGAAATCGATGGTATAACCAGCCCTAATGAGGAATATGGACTCAGTTCAAGGCTTTAAACTTTAGCATCCCTAGTAGCTAGATGTCTGATGTCTGTGCAGGTTTCTTTTTTGTTTTCCTTCTCAGAAGATGCAATTTGAAATGAAGTTTTGAAGTCCAGATGTCTTGTTCCTCTAGCGATTGATTGCACTTGCTTTAGGCAGTGCCAGATCATGGTCTTCTAATAAAGATGATTGTCTGTGCTAAATGCGGCAATTAGTGCATCTAGATGCAAACCCAACACACTGCATCGTGTCTTCTCAAATCACCCTGCGGGAGGGTTATGTGCAGGAATGTGTCCATGGTCAAATGAGATAAGTTACAGCATCATTAACAAGATTTCAGGTTTTGTTTTCTCACCTCTTCTTTTCTCAGCATTGACTGATTTCTCCAGCTTTTTGTTGCACTTTGAAGCTAGCAGAAAGCAATAAATACACCAGAAAATTTTCCACAATGAAATGCGAACAAGTGTCCACCTACTTGCAGACTGCAAAAATGCTCTCTTGGTATTTTTTATGTATTCACTTTTTTGTTGCTGATTTTTCAGGTCACCTTGTCATAAATTGTAAACTACATCAAATCTGTCTGTCTTATAATTCCCAGCATTATGTGCTGAAGTTGTGCTCTGAAAATAAAGCTGTGTTTTTCCTACTTCATATATCATCACTAGTAATAAAGATTTTGGATTTCCAGAATAGCTGGCAATTCAGGCTGATTACACACGAGGCAGAGATGAATGGGGAGCTCTGTTGCACCAGCTATGTTGATTTTGCAGTGCTGACTGTTGTACAAGTTGTGTAGAGGAGCTGATTTTTGAGGCAGAGAGGGGTCAGTTGCCCAAAGAGAGATGCCTCTGGTTCACTGGGATGAATGGTGCTTCAGTCTCACTCTGGGGCTGTGTGGCTGGGAAAGGATGTCCCTAACAGGAATGGTTCATCCTCAGTAATTCATAGAACTGACGTTATCATAGAAGGGTTTGGGTTGGAAGGGACCTTAGAGACCATCCAATGCCATCCCCTGCCATGGGCAGGGACACCTCCCACTAGCCCAGGTTGCCCAAAGCCTCATCCAGCCTGGCCTTGAACCCCTCCAGGGATGGGGCATCCACAGCTTCTCTGCTTCTTCTTAATATCTAGTCTAAAATCAGGAGTTCCTTAAGAGAGTTTGAAGGCGAGATCAACAAAGGGACAGTTTGTCCTGTATTTTGCATTGTTCCCAATGTGAAACCTGTAAGTGTCCCCTTCTTACATGCAACATAAGTACGAGGAGAAAGGCACGATGGGACCTGCTCAGGGCAAGGAGGGTCTGTCATAGTTGGAACAGATTTCCTCCAAGAGCAAATGCAGACTTTCACAGTGTTCATCTTATTGCCTGAGGACAGAATGAGGTGCTCAGCGGTGCATTTGCTGGGCTGTTGTTTCCAGAGCACAGGCAGCATCCATATTAATGGAGCATTGTTACAGGCAGTAATTTATGCCGTGTTCATTACACCCGAGACATGTACAAGAGCGTGTAAAAACATAAAGCGCTAAGCAAACCCTGCAGCAGATTACTGCCTGACAAAGTCAGCTTTTTAAGGAACACATTAAGATTTGGACGGCAATTGTGCGTCGGACAGGAGCAATCCATGCCAGTAAGAGCTGTAGAATAAGGCGCTGGGGACACCAGGAAGGATGTGTGTTCAGCGGAGCTGGCCTGAGGAGCCTGCCGAGTTTCAGCTCTTAGTTGAGCCAAATACAACATTGCTGTTCCGATCCAAACCCCTGTTTACACAGATCTGCAGCCTCTGAGGTGGACTGAACAAAAGCGTTGGGTTGTGTCCCAGCTCCGCGATGACAAACCGCGGCGGTGTGGGTTTGTTTGAATAGCTCATTTGGCAGAGCTGGCTGTGCAGTGTGCCGTGCTGCTCCACGGATATATCAGAGAGCTGAAACATTCAAATGACTCTTTTGGTGTCTGTTTGCCATGTGTTTAAATAAATACCCAATTTGCAAAATCTGCAGTAATGGTGCATGAAAATTGGATGTACAGTTGCATGTACTTTTGACCCAAGGCTTGTCTGCCTATTACGGATCAGGTCATTTAACTGGTAAATTCTGTTAGTTAATCAGGCAGTTAAGCGAGACCCATCACTCACACGTCCAGTGTGGAAAAACGTTGTCACTTAACTTCTTAACAGTTACAGAAGCAGCTGCATACAAGTCCATTAGCACAGAGTGTTTTATGCAACTAAAACTGTTGGTGGTATTTTCAGAGATGAAGTGTAAGAAAAATGCCTATTTGTTTTTGTACCTTTTTGTAAGAATGTATGTTTATTGTAGACGGGCAAATTACAGACTTTTTTTTTCATTTTTCAGGAAACAAAAATCAACTGTGTCCGGCTGGCAACAAAAGGTACGTGGGTTTACTTTTCCTGCAAAACACAATGTCAGTAATGTAAAGGCTGCAGTGGTGACACAACCTGATTACAGTCACTATTCAGAGAACAAGCCTCTTTCTTTTCTTTTTCTTTTTCCTTTTTTTTTTTTTTTTTTTTTAAGGAAGATTACAAAGGCAGAACAACAATTTCCAGAGCCACTTCACTATATGTGTGGACCTTGTTATTTTTTTTAAGACAGCTTATCTGTCTGTGGTTCCTCATTTCCCTTATTCTGTTGACAGCTTTCCTGTCCTGAGGACTGTTCTTGCTATTGGCAGAACGTCACTGAAAAAGCTTCTTATTAATGTCGTTCTCTCCACAAGAGGAGATCTCACCTAAGCCTAACCTGGAGCACAGTGGGGCACAATTCTTGTATCACACCATTTTCATCTTATAACTGACCGTTCTTTATTGTCATTGCAATTAGTTCAGAAGAGACCAAACTGCTAGATCAAACAGAGCAAACCCAGACAAATGGTGTTAAGGTGCAGTGCTCCGATCCCCAGCTCACTTCACAAGGTGTAGCTCTTGAGGGACCGATGATGACAGTGTCTCGGAGCTTCTTGGAGCTTAGAGTTGCTTTTAACAACTCTTCTAAGGACTTCAAAATCACTTGCTGGTAAAGGTGTCAGAAACCAATTTACTTGTAGCACAAACAGAGGAGTAGCTGTAAAAAGACTTCCTCAACACATGTAGTCTCAAAATGAGCTGTAAGGAAATGGCAGGGTAATGGCCATGGTCCGTACTGCAGGTAGCTCTGCATTTCCAAAACTCAACATTGTCATCTTGTGCTCTTACTGCTTTGCTCTAATGTGGAATAACTGCATTGCTGCCTGGGGAGTCTTTCCAGAGTTAAATCAAATCGGCAGGAACCCATGGCCACTTTTTCTTTGAGGCACCATCCCATTTTTTCTATGCTTTTCACTCTTTTTTGTCTTGTAGCAGTAACAGAAGTTAATTACTTCTGGGTACTTTCCCCTTGTCATTTCTGCATCTACACTTAAGAGTTGAAAGGGATCAAAGAAGCCCCAGCTAACAGTTGCTGGGTAGCAGAGGAGGACTTTTTCCACCTTTACATGGAGACATCCCCCAGTGTGTTACAGAAAGCCATGCACTGGGATAGCAGACACTGCATGAAGTTCCCACCCACGCAGCTGCTCTCATTGCTGAGACCCGATACGCAGGCTGATGGGACTGTAAGCAGTTGTGTCACCACCGAAAGCCAAGGAGGATGAGCCATTTCTGCCCTTTCCCCCTTCCATCTGTGGCTCTGGTGCTCCCCATACCCTCTCGTTGCTTTCCTTTTAAAAGTTCCTTGTAAAATCTTTATTTAATTAATTTCTCTGGGTTACAGACGTTCTGTGTGTCTCAGTCTCCCCTCCTTCCCCCTCGGTTTTTCCAGCTGGTAGTGACATGACCATTTGGGATACCTTATTGTGGCTTTCTGGTGGTAGAAAGATAAAGAGCAGGACTGGGTAAGATGAGCCCGGGTGACATGAGTCTCTGCAGGGGTTTCCCAGAGCATGCCTGGAGGTCTCTTCATGAGATCAGAGGAACGGGATTAATTCATTTCTGGAAACCTGTAGCTTCTTCCATTTCAGTTGCTGCTTTTTCTAGAGTTGGTGGAAGAATGCTGTCATACTAGCAGAAAAAAATTTTGCTCTGTGATTATTCGAAGAAGAATAAAAGCTCATGTAGCTTGAAAAGTCCCATTCTTGCATGACCTTTTGATTTCCCCTGCCTGATTTGGGTGCTTCAGAAAAGAGTCACATAAATGGTTGACTTTGAGTTGACTTCTGCAAACTGATTTAATTTTCATTAATCTGTTGGGTCACCAGGAAGAGTCAGTAAGCTACACTCATCCTGTCTTTTCTGAATATAATCTTTTTAAAAAAAGCTCTCTTACTAATATTAATTTGCTAAGAAATATAAAAGAGATGGGTAGAGCCTGAGGATGCCTAGAGCCACTGCTTTTTGGTGATCTTATTCTTTAGGATTTTTCTTGACTGGCATGAATGGAAAAAGACGGGAAATGATGGTAGTTCTAGTGTTTATTCTCACTGTCTCAGTGGATATCACTTCTGATTTGTAGGCAGATATCTTATTTCTATACATGGAGTGTGGAAATCTCTGTGGAAATTCTTTTCATTTTTTCTTCTTTTCTTTCTTGTCCTAGCTCTGTGAATTGCAATGTTGTATTTCTCAGTGCCTGCCCATTAGCAAAGACACAGGAATATGCACAGCTGTGGCTAATTTTATGCAGTTTTAGCTTTTCAAAGGTACAGTATTGCCTGCAGCTCACAAGCAAGGTAGCATCCCAGGCAAGCGTGTAGTCCTGATAACGTAAGAGTCTCTTCCATTGCTGGCACCTGGGAAGTACGAGCAGCTGAGCAACAGCTGAACAATGTGGTTCTGTGGTTTGGGGCTTTCCCATAGTTTCAGATTTCCATATGTCATGAGGCTGGTTCCCACCATACATTAACTCCCCATGAATGGAAGAATCAGACACTCCACATCCTAGCCCCTGCAGAGCGGTGTCGTATCTGCCCTCCCTCCGCTGTGCGGTAATGGACAGAGACACTCACAAAACTCTAATTACATTGTGGCCTGATCAAAGGCTGATAGCTGCGATGTTCTAGGTGACCTATTGCGTCTGTGCTGTCTTCTGTCTACTCGTTGTATTGATTATCTTTAATGGCCTTGGCCTGTATTCGCCCTTATTTGCATCCTTGTCTTTCTGAGGATAGAACGCGTGAACCTGTGGTCTGCCTTGATCGAAATCTTCAGGGCTGTTAGCAAAGGTACCGCTGTGGTGTCTTGGGTAAGAGTCAGGGGAAAAAAAAAACCAAAAAACAACAAAAAAAAAACAACCTTGGAGTCAGGGCTAATCTCAGCATTGAGAGCTTAAAAGCTCTGCTTTGAGGTGGTAGCAGAGAAAAACCATGGTTTGTTTTGGTGCAAGAAAATAGATACATACTATTGGTGCCAGACTGAAGGTTCTTTTTGGGCTACAAGCCTAATTTTTCCATTCCTAGACATCTAACACTGCAGTAGCTCCATTAATGGGTAGTGAAATGAGTTCTGATTTACACCAGTGACAGGAAGATTAGGATCCAGACATGTTGAAGCAAGGCGGGTATTCTCTTGAAGTACTGGGTTAACAAGGGCACTAAACGTGAGTGTGGGAGTAATTAGGCAATAAAATGTGTTAGAAAGTGTGCTACTGGGGGATGCTAACACATCCTGGGTGTTGCTGCAAGGCAACAAGTAGCTTTAATTACCTGAGAGATGCGTGAGGCTGTTCCACCGTCGCTCCTTCAGCAGCCTGGGAGGCAATCTGCTCTGTGTGTCCCGTTGCCTCAAAACCAGGAAAATGAAAGCAGACAACTCTTTAAAAAGTGTTTTAGTTCATTAAAGAGAGAGTTTTGGAGACTTCCCAGTTTTCTCCCCTTCCCTTTAGCAAGAAATACACTGTTCAGATCGACCCCTTTTGGGTTTAGTTCAGCTCCACACAGGAGCTCCTTCCCGTATCTCGCAGCGGTGCGCTCCGCTGCGTGGTGTGCTGCCTGCTGCTCCGGTTCAGATGAACTCGATTCTTGTAGTTGCCAGAAAGATCTCTCAAATCTTTGTGTGTTGGCTTATGAAATGTGACGGGTTTAGCATTTCAGAGCACGAGGTCATGGCATCAGTAGTGCATCCTCCAAAGCAGAGCAGGTAGATACCCACCCAGGCACGCGCATCCCTCAAGCTCGTTTCCTTCCATCCTGAGTCTCAGTGGAGGAGTTGGCTGATGCTGGTGGAACAGGGTGGCGGCAGGGACCCATCGTCAGCCTTTGCGGTGGTGACATTTGGCAATCCATCAGAAAGCTCTCTGCGTTTGTCCAGTCTGTGTAACCATTTCATGTTTCGTTGGCATGTTTTAAACCCACAAGCATGATTAACCTTCTGTATCTACATATGTATTTATTTTCAGGTTCATTGGTCTCAGATTTCTTTACCGCTTCCAGCCATAAACATCTCTCCTCACACTGGCTACTCCTCTTCTTTAAATTACTGGAGTAATGTCGTCTTTCACAGCATTAGTCACTTGGATGCATATCATTAGCATAAAACACTCTTTGAAAATAAGTTTCTAATTAAACCCCGATTTACCAGCTCTCTGCCATACAATTTTCATTCAGCCAGTTTATTTATTAGTTTTACCATTTGGTTTCCTTGATAGCATTTCTTTTAATATGTCCCATTCTTTCTGAATTAACTGACTTATTCTCCCTGTCTTAAAACAACATATTTATATTGACACTTTAGCAGAGAAAATTGCAACCTCTTACCAAGAGAGAGTGATTATCTCTTGTATTCTTAAAGTGCATTAAATTAATTTCACAGTGTAATTGAAACCAAGGCAGAGGGCTCATTAATGGTTCCTTATCTCTCGATACTCATTTCTTCTTTCTTTAAAACGTGAGTTCTTGCAAATGAAAGAATGGAACTTTAATAATCATTATGAGGTACATTTTTATTTTTTTTCTTTTTTTTTTTTTTTTTTCTTGTGCATGCTGCCTGGGAACGATTTTGCTTGTTCTTAGCAGTAATGGGTAGGCAACAGGTGACCACGCGAAACCCGCCCAGCCTCTTGAGCACAGGTGATTATCGGTTCAGGAAAAAAAATACTGTTCAGACTTCCCAAAGTCTGAGCAGCTTGATGACTTCTTGTTTTGTATTTGGTTTGCATGGGAAAACATTTTTACAGTTATTCTAACTACAGCATAAAGGGGGCACTCCTTATGCAGTACTCCCTTTGCACCAAGGCAAAGATCCACCTGTGCAGAGAGGGTCATCTGGGGACCAAACCACTTAGATCTTCCCAGGAGCACTTGAGCATGACTGGAGAGCCCCATGGATCCCTTCCTCGTCCTCTGCAGAGGCTGGATGCCTCCCTGAGCATGCATGGAGATGACCTTGCATTTTTGAATTA